GTCAGAGAGGGGGACTTCTTTCCCCTTGTTTGGAGCCCTGGCGTGACAGCTGCAGGGACACTGCTCAGTTTTGCGGCCCACAATCACAGTAGAATACTGGTCCATGGCAGACGGGGCAGGGAAGAGCCACTAGAAGGACGGGCATTGATAAAGTGCACCTCGCAGTGTTAGATTCACGGATCTCAATGTAGTTCCCTTCTCACCATGAAGGAGAAGGGGGGGGCCTGAGTTTATACCATACATGGGGAAGAGCCCGCTCTCTCTTTCCCTCTCTCTCTCACACACACGCTGTGTCTGCCTGAGTCCTATCTTCTCAGGAAGAGGAGACTTTGCCAGGCTGGGAGCAGAGGGTTTCCGACTGAGTGACCCCTTTTCCTGATTCATTGGGTTGGAAAACATTCACCTCACCTGCTGACTTGACATGGGGGGATGTGAATTTGGCCCACTGCTATGGGAAGATCTCATTTGTCTTCGTCCACGAGGGAAACTTCTTGAAGAAGAGGTAGGAAGTGAGGGTGGGATTCCGGGCTGGGAGGAAATAGCGAGATAGATACACTGAAGAACCAGCTACAGTCAGTACATGAGCACGTGCGATTTCAGATCAATCTCCAGGCCTTGTGGAGGGAAGAGATATTACTCCCCCCGCTTAACCGACCCACCTTGCTCTAAGGAATGGTCAACCCCCTCCCCCTGCACACACACACTAGATACAGCACAAGGGCCAGCTCACACTACAAGGATAGCAGGACATGATGGTGTGGAGACCTAATGCCCCTCTTTCCACACACACACACACACCCATCATAGAATTATGGACACACGCATGTGGAGGGGAATAGCGGGCCTCATGTCCGTGTCCTGTCGCTGCACAGCAGTGATGAGCCAACTGCAGATCTCCAGGAAGGTGTCCTTCTTCATCCTGAAGTTCTGGGTCCATTGTTGGTCTTCCCAGCACTTCAGGACAATGTGGTCCCGCCAGTCGCTGCTGGTGTCCAGAGGCCAGATGTGGCAGGGCACGGTGGCATCCGGGCTCTACTGCTGTTCCTCCCCGGTCTCCAGAGTGTCCAGAATAGGGCCTGGGGGTTGAACTTCAGTAGATACTGCCAGGCAGTCTCCAGCAATTGCAGCCAGGCTTGCAACAGCACATCCAAAATGAGCATCAGAGTGCCCAGGAGCAGCTCTGGTTCCATGGTACCAAGTGCTGTGGTTTCCCGAATTAGGGCAACCAAAGCAGACAGACAAAAATGCTTTGCTGTCCCTCAGCCTTGTAGGCAAGAAAGCAGGGAAAGCTGAGATCTGGTTGTCCAGGAAGAATCCCTTTGGGAATAAGCCTCAGGCAGCAGCCACACGAAATAACTCCTGACCTGGTGCCCTCCTGGAACTGGTTTTAACTGCCCTTAAATGTGATTCAGCATCCAATCAGTGTGGACGCGCTATTTCAAAATAGCACAATGCTATTTCTAAATATATTTTGTGTGTAGATGCATTATTTTGAAATAACGTATTTCAAATTAACTATTTTGAAATAAGATATTTCAAAATAACGCTGTAGTGTAGACATACCCTTAATGAATTGCACTATGGCAACATGTCAACAACAATCAAAGTTCTATAGCAAAATGTAAGAAAGAGGAAACGGGAGGAGGAGGTTGAAAAGGCCTTTTCCTTCTTTGTGGAGGAAATGAGGCATAGGTTGGTGTAGCACTCAGGTATCACCCAGGTGGGGTGTTCTCACAGGTCTCCTGGTCCATCTGTGAAGATAACCATTCAGTTGCCTACATATGTTCCTCTGTTTGTTGTCTTGGCTTGCCCAGAGAGTCTTTAGAGCAGAGTCCGAAAGAGCCCCCAAAGACCACAAAAATCACAGGTGGATTGATGGTATCAGGCTAGGTTTATTGAAAACAAAGCTCAGTAATAGCTTCCCTCAACAAGATATCTACAGCTAGGCTAAGATAATGATGAACACAATTCAGTCAGTGCCAGGAATGAGACACTGCCCCATCGGCTAATGACAACTGTTTGGGGTTCACTTTCATCCACGTGTACAATCAAATTACACATCACACCTCATGTACCCACTTGCCATCCTCTGATGTTACCTGTATCAAGGCACTTCCTCATACATGGAGGTTTGACCACTATCTGTCCTGCATTCAGTTTAGACCCTGTCCTGTATCTGGGACAGTTTGTTCCTGTTATGTGTGGGGAATATGTTGGTACAGAGATGTTACATTCAAAAGGTGTCCTGTTACAACCACTCTGGAATGTGCTGATGTAAAATAGAACTTTTAACTTCTTTTGTCTTTGTTTTGTGTTCTGTTTTTGTTTGTTTTTAATTGCTTTCTCTTTTGGAAGTTTCTGTAAAAACTCTAACTTCTAATTGTAATGCAGAGAAAGAGATAGTCAAAGTGAGTGGAGGTGAGGAAAAGAGGTAGTTCAAGAGAAAAAGGAACGTAGGCAGCCATGCACCAAGAGAGATTTCCATCTACCAGGAAATACATCAGTACATCTATGCATGCTGAATATGCTACAATATGCTAAAATGCACCTTTCACACTCCATGCCTGAAAGGAGCCAGTTTCTGAAGAGATGTTCTCAGGGACCGATTGACCTCCTTGTTCCTCAGGCTGTAGATGACAGAGCTGATGTAAGGTATCAGGATTCCATACAAGACAGACAGTATCTTGTATAGGAGTGAGAAAGGAATGCAAATATAGGCATTCGAAATCGGAAATGAAGCTGGGATTTAAATATCCCATGCTTCATTTGCATATTTGAAATAAAAAACACTGTTTAGATGCAGTTATGGAGAAAACAGTTCTTCCGAAATAACCTTTATCCCTCCTGAAACAAGGATTAAGGGTTATTTCGGAAGAAAGGATTTCTCTCAAAATAACCGGGTCTGGACAACATTTTTCTTTCAAAGTAAAGTATTTTGAAATAGTACCCATCTGCGATTATGCAAAGTAAGTGTGGGATATTTAAATCCCGACTTCATTTACAATATTGAATGTCTACATTTGCATCCCTCCCTCAAAAGAGGGTGCAAGATCAGACATACCCAGAGAGAGTCAAAGTGAGTGGAGGTGAGGGAAAATGGGCGTTGAACAGAAATTGGAACGTAGGGAGACATGCACCAAGAGAGATTTCCATCTGCCAGGAAATACGTCAGTTCATCTCTATTTTACAATATACTAAAACGCACCTTTCACACTCTGTGCCTGTGTCTGAAAGCAGCCAGTTTCTGAATAGCTGTTCTCAGGGCCTGACTGACCTCCTTGTTCCTCAGGCTGTAGAGGACAGGGTTGATCAAAGGTATCACATTTCCATAGAAGACAGACAATATTTTGTACAGAAGTGGGGAAGGTCTGAACACTGGGACCACATAGTTTGTAATTACACACATATTGTTAACTGTAACCACAATGAGGTGGGAGGAGCAGGTGGAAAAGGCCTTTTGCCTCCCAGTGCTGGATCTGATTCTCAGGATGGAGATGAGGATACAAGTGTAGGATGTCAGGGACAGTAGAAAATTCATATTTATCAATATGATAGACACATAATTTGTCCCGATTGACAGTGTCTTGGACTCACCACAGAATGAGTTTGTGGGTGCAAAATCACAAAAGTAATGGTTAAATTCTTTGGGACCACAGAATGTTAATTGCAAACTTAACATTTCCAGCATGATAGTGTAGGAAATGGCGATTATCCAGGCCCAGGCCACCATGTGGCAGCAAACCCTGCCATTCATCAGAGCAGGATAACGGAGGGGATGGCAGATCGCTAGGTACCGGTCAATACACATGGCCGTGAGCAGATGACCTTGTGTAGTGGAAAGGATAACACAGAAATGGAATTGCACGTAGCAGTTCTGGAGAGAAATGGTTCTGTCCCCAGTCGCGAGACTGCCAATCAGCCTGGGCAGGGTGGTGGAGACGTAGGAAATTTCCACGGTAGACAAATTGGCCACAAAGTAGTACATGGGGGTGTGAAGGTGCCGATCAGCCACCACTAGCACAACGATGAGAAGATTCCCAGCCACAGCCGCCAGGTAGATCACTAGGAAGAGCAGGAAGAGGAAGGGCTGCAGTTCAGGGCCATTCCCAAATCCTATGAGGATCAGTTCTACAATGGGTGTTTGATTTCCTCCTGGATTCTCCATAATTCGTATCTAGAAACACAAAAGCATCAGATATTCCGTGAGCACATGCAGACAGGTTGTGCTGTTTGTTGCCTGGCCAGAAACCTGGGATCTGTAGCTACATGCTGCTGTGTCTCCTCTCTGAAATAGTTAACTTGTAAATCTCCAGAGGAGGACTCATTTCAATTAGAGGCAGAACTTCCAATAGAGGTGAGCTAGAAACATTTAATGTAAATTGTTGCACTTCCTCAGACTTGCTGAGGAACAAACCCAAACAAAGGATGGGCTGGAGCAGGATTGTTTGGGGTTGTTTATTGGTCCAGATTATTAAGATTTTCACTCACACTCACATTGACGCTGCCAACTGGGAGGCAGGCTGCAAGTGCGGTGCACATTACTTTTGATTTTGCAGGTGGCTGGAGTGCTGGCCAGAGGTCAGCTTCCCGGAGACTCAGCCATGATGTTAATTGGGAGATCCCCTTGGATCTGCAGGAGGCTTCACTTCCTCCGGGCCGGTCCCAGCTCTCTGCTGTGATGTTCCATTTTGTAAGGCCCAGTATAGACACAGCCTTAATGTATCTGCTTGCTGGGGCTTTGCCTTTTTGGTTGGGTTGGGTATTTCTCATTCATACCTCACACACATTCCACAGGTTACATACATATTCATAACCAATAGGGTTTCTAGGTAAAATTCAGCTTGATGGGCTTAAGTAACAAGAAACCTACCATAAACTGGATTGCTTGACATACTCAAAGGACCTAATGTAAATAATATGGGTTAACATACCAAAAGCATGATAAAGGAATTAACATAAATTGTACGTATGGCTATGTCTAGCCTTTGGGCTTTTGCCAACAAAGCTTCTGTCGACCAAGAGCATCTAGACTGCATCCAGTTGTGTCAGCAAAGCAAGCTGTTTTGTCAACGTGAGAGTGTAGATGCAAAAGACAGTGTAGATGCTATAATACCTTCTGTCAACATAATTCTGTCCTCAAAAGGCATTATTCCTTATAGAGTGAGGTTTACCACCATCGACAAAACTGCCGCGTTGTGTAGATTTTATGTCGACAGAACTCGGCGGTAGTGTTGACGTAGGTATAGTTTTGTTGACAAAAGTGCATTACTACCCTGTAGTCCAGACACACCCTAAGGGTATGTCTACCCTACCCTCCTAGTTCGAACTAGGAGAGTAATGTAGGCATACCCTAAGAGAAGTAGGGTGAAGGGAAAAAAGGAAAGCAGAGAAGTATGTCCAGTGTTTGGTGGGGGGTCATGTCCAGCTGGTTACATTACTTTAAAAATGATGGCCACCTAACTGCCTGAAGCGCTGTTGAACATTAAATAAAGTCTTTTATGTTGGGATTCTGGAGTATCTTCATCATGTCAGTGTCTTTTCAGACGACGTCGAGGACATAACAAAAGTCAATTGAAAGGAAGGATATTTAAAGTTCAAACATGGGTATGTCTACTCTGCAGCTGGGAGGTGTGATCCTCAGCTCGGGTAACATGCACTAATTTTGATCAACTGAGCAAGGTAAAATTAACGATGAGTACAGGGCAGCAGAGCCAGTGGTCTGGGACACACACCTGTGTGTCCCTTGTATCTCAGATGGAATCAGGTGGGGCAGTTAGTCTGTGCTGCTGACGTTACACTATTTTTAAAACAAAGCTCAATCAAAGGTTGTCTGTGTGACTTTAAGGGAGCTGGGAATCACCCATTTCTATGTTGAACACAGATATGCCACATAAGAGAAAAATGAAAACATCAACGAGGCCACAGTTTGCTGAATGTCTGTTCAGCTATCCGCCATTACAGTAGATGAAAATAAATTTAATTGGACCATTTTAAAGATGCAGGTGAGAAACAAAGACAAAAAAAAACCCACCATAAAGAGACTGTGACACTGGTCTCAGAAAATTGCAGGCAAATGGATTTACAGAGGCAGAATTGAATTCCGCAACCAAACCCATATAAAGAAATACAAATGAAATAAACAAGAGAAAAAATTTTTTTTTCTTCTAGAAGGAAGAAAGTGCCCGGAGAACAATGAAAAATGGGAGAGTTGTAGAGACAGGGACAAAATTTGAGAGATGATGGCTGTTTATTCCTCCAAATTATATGAGCATTTTATGAACAGATCTGTTTACATAGAAGTAGCACGTCCCTGCTACTAGCGCAAAACTCTCAGCAACATTGGGCCTTTCTTGATTTTCCTCTTTACACTTCCAATATAACTTATCTGTGAACCTCTTCTTCCACAGACGTATTTTGTGCCCACAGACACTAGATCTACAGCAGCAGTGGCAATGGTAAAAGGGCATCGGTGCCATATAAATGTGTGACAGAAACACTGAAATCTAGAAAAACAGGCACCAACACAGAGGGCCCATTAAGGGATCCCTTGTGTGGGAGAATGAGGTACAAAATGAGAGCAGGGATGGACAGCGAGGGCAGGGAGACTTTGGGAGCAAATATTTGAAATAACAGTCAGATGATGGTGATTGTTTTTGAAGAATTTACTGAAAGGATTATTAACCACCTTCTCCAGGGGAGGGGAGAGGGGAAGCAGACAAGTGTATATGAGAGAAAGGCGGTTATTTTTGAAGAATTTAAAGAATGACATGTCTGAAGAGCCAAGCAGTTAAAGATAAAGAGCATTGTACCTCTAAATATCTACACAAGGGGTTTTTAGAGATGTGATTTTATAATCTGCAGCCACAGACTAATTCAATGTTTAAAACAAGGTCCGGCAGACACATTTATTACTCTAATGCACAGGGCACGATGTGTACCGTTTCTGCCAGTAAGTTCAGATCCTGGCCGTAAATAGTCTCAGTCAATGTTAATGGCTTCATTAGCACTCAATGACTCTGTGACCGTTTCAGTGTTATGCTAATAGGTGAGGCAAGATGAAAAACATATTTCACTTTTAGAATAATAAATCCACTCGGAGGAACAATCCGGCCTGCTGTGGGAGCCCACAGGGTCAGAACAGAGATAGGAAGACAGGAGGGGATGGGCACTAAGACCCAGGGGAGGCATTGTCTCCCCTTTCCTCTGATACCTGCACCCATATTGGAGTTTCCTCTTCTTCTCCTTTCCCTCTCCCCATGTGCCCAATGTCTGTAAAGCGTGGAACATAGACCAGAGCTCAGGAGCCAAAGAACTCAGCCGGTTTGGTCTGAACTTCCTGGTGTGTGTTAAAGTCACAGTCTCTCAAACACCTTTAAGCAACCAGCATGTAGACAGGCACACGCACACGCACACGCACATTCTTTGCGTCTATCTCTGTGCCACACACAAACACACTCTCACACACATGGACACACTGTTTTCTTGTCCTCTCACACATACACTTTGTCTCTCCCTCACACACATACAAACAGTGACTTCTTCTGTCTCACCCCTCAACACTTTCTGGTGTGGTTGCTGTTACTTCCCAACACACACATGCATTCTACATTAATTTTATGCTTTCTAAAAGCTACTGTTATCACTATTTGACTGCTCGGGGCATTTCACAATTCTTCTGCGCTCTCCTGCTCAATTGAACTTCTCTAGGGAGTTAGTTCTGAAATGCTGAGCCAGTCTTGGCTGGAGTATGAATCTCTGTGTTAATATCCAGAAAAATATTGATTCCATAGACAGGGCTGTTTTTCTCCTGGGAGCAGACATCTACATGATACCTCAGTATGGGCACATTGAACAAAATTCTCTCCACACAGAGATGGAAACAAAATAAACCAAAGAGTAACATTGGTGTCAGGAAACATGATGTGGGATGGGAAAGAAGGAGGTGATTATCTGTGCTGTTAAACATAAATGATTTCCCCAGTCTGGGACCCCAGAGCTGTACAGCCTGCTCTGGTCAAATCGGTGATCACTTGAAGTGAATTGCCAAGTTTCCCCTCCCTCAACGTGGAAAGGAATAAGCTACTAAACCTACTATTCCTCACCTACTAAACCAGCTGAGATTTTTTTCCCAAGACACTTCACTTTAAAGGCACATTAGATTACTCTACAAATGAGTTCATTAATTAATAAAGGTTAATTTAAGTGACTATAAAGGCTATCTAAGAGAGCGAAGCAGTTAACCAGAAATAAGCAAAACTAGAAATTAAATACAACACACTGGTTACATTGACCATGAATGAACATTTCCTCACCCTGAGGGAGGAAGCCGGCAGAAGGGCAGGATCTCAAGGCACAGGCACCATTGGCTTTGCAGTTCGGGTGTCGCAGGTTTCCGGACACAGGCTGGAATGTCCTTTATTCTTGGTCAAGCATGTTCCCCCAGCTCATTCTGTGTTTCCCTGCTGTTTCCATTAGTCCTTTTGTGTGGGGATCAAAAATCAATGGATGAGATCACTCCCTGCCTTATATAAGGTTGGGGAACACTTTGTTTTCAAACTTGATTCCCCCATCAGTGTGTGGCAAAATACAGAAGTCCCAAGAGGGAGTCCAACATTATTTCTCCTGGTCCCCTGCCCTGGGAGAGTCACAGCAACCATTATTGACCGACTCTCTGGAGTATCTCTGGCAGCTGAACCTTTGGGGAGATAAACTTCCCCTCAGGCCTATTTATTCCCCCAATGGTTCATTAACATGATGTAGCCAGACAGGAACCCCCCTTGTAACATCCATTTTTATTGCCTGGATATGCAGGCTCAGTGACTGTGAATGGCTGTACACAGAGATACGCCAATTGCTGACCAAGAGGCTGCCAAAGAGTGCCCTTGACTTAACCCATATTGATACGAACACCCAGCCGTCCGCGGGGGGAGGAATCTCTCGCCCAGTAAAAAAATGTCTAGTACTCACAATTTAGTTATCTCTCTTGCAAGTGTCAATTAACTTGAAACTAGCTTGTAAGAACTGGTGCCACAAAACGTACCAGTACAATTTGGCATCTTAAGATAAGGAAGAGGATACAGGCCCCAGGGGTATAAAGATGGGTCCAGCAGCACATTTACTCAGCGCATCAATCTACCGTCTATCTGCTGGTCGGGTTAGGTGTTT